CTGAGGTTAATTATGGAGTTCCACAGGGTTCAGTGCTAGGACCAATTCTGTTTACATTATACATGCTTCCCTTAGGCAGCATCATTAGAAGACATAGCATACATTTACACTGCTATGCAGATGACACCCAGCTCTATCTGTCCATGAAGCCAGATAACACACACCAATGAGTTAAACTGCAGGAATGTCTTAAAGACATAAAGACCTGGATGGCCGCTAACTTTCTGCTTCTTAATTCAGATCAAACTGAGGTTATTGTACTCGGCCCTGAAAAGCCTAGAAATATGGTATCTAAGCAGATTCTTACTCTGGATGGCATTACCTTGGCCTCCAGTAACGCTGTGAGGAACCTTGGAGTCATTTTTGACCAGGACATGTCCTTCAAGCACATATTAAACAAATATGTAAGACTGCTTTCTTCCATTTGTGCAACATCTCTAAAGTTAGAAATATCCTGTCTCAGAGTGACGCTGAAAAACTAGTTCATGCATTTATTACTTCCAGGCTGGACGACTGTAATTCATTATTATCAGGAAGTCCTAAAAACTCCCTGAAAAGCCTTCAGCAGTCAGTCAGATTGCCGCCCCTCCCTGAGCCTGGTTCTGGTGAACATGTGTTTCTGTTAAAAACGAGTGTTTCCTCCCCACTGTCACCAGTGTGCCTGCTCGTGGTCTGATTGTGTTTCCTCTGTAGGGTCTTTACGTACAATATTAACTGCCTGAGGTGACCGTTGTTGTGATTTGGTGCTAAGAAAAACTGAACTGAATCTGTGAAACCACTGCAGATCACTATAACACTAAACATTTCGCCCTTTGGGGGGAGTTGTTGCTTTGTTGTGAAATCTGTTCCTGCTCTTTTCCTCTGCAGGCATTACAACATGGTTTCCTGGATTTTGAAAGGTTCAGTGCAGAAGAATATGAACATTATGAGGTACAGACTGCAGAGACTGTGCTACAGGTCGATATCAATGCAAACAGGACCAGGATACAGGAAGAAATAACTAACGTACGCTTGTTATTCATCCAGTTTATTTGCAGTGCTGTTAGTAACACAGTCAGGGCCAACCAAGAGCTCGTACGATGTCCAGGCCTGCCTTGGTGCACGCTGTACTTCCAGTTTCTCAGTTAGATTGATCATAGCTCACCCGTCCAAGTGATAGACAGTCAGTGAAGTAAAGGTCAACAAAACTGATTTCCAATGAAGGTAAAAGCCCGTACGTGTTCATTACTGCAGTGGTGGTATAATTAAGGTGTTCTGGATCCATGTTTTAACTGATATGTGGCTAACCTCTATCACAGTCTTTCCTTTCTTTTTGTGCTTTTACGAGTTGAAAATGGAGATATGAACTGGATCGTTCCGGGCAAAGTTCTGGCGTTCAGTAGCCCTCATTCTCGTGGTGAGTCAGAATCTCTAAGCTAAAAGCTAAAAGCATGCCTCCAAACCAACACCAGTGCTCACGTTGCTGGGCTGACAGAAGGCCTGTGCAGCCCCTCAGTGCCTGCACGTCCTGAAGCAGCTGAGAAGAGCTAACCTTACCCTGCTGTCTTCTGACGGCGTGCATTGTTTCCTGCTAGTGCTGTCGTGTTGTTACGGCTGGATTAGACAAGCCTGAAACCTGCAGTGGCTCGGGGTTTCCCATGATGCACTCATGCTTCTCCATCCCTCAGCTCTTTTTACTTTCTGTGTATTACACCACTTTGCACGTAGTTATTATTCCCTCTGGCTCTCGTCCATCTTGTCCTGTTGTCCTCCCCACCCCGACCACATGAGCCAGATTGCGCCCCTCCCTCAGCCTGGTTCTTGTTAAAGGGAGTTTTTCTTTCCCGCTGTCAGCAGGTGCTTGGGGCCGTCCGATCGTTGGGTTTTCTCTGTATTTACGTCTTTACCTTACAACATAAATCAGCTGACACTACGTCATTGAATCTTATTTTACGTTCGCATTAAAAACAGACGCTCGCTGATTGAAACGTATGACGTAACTCAGCTGTTGTTGATCTGTCTCCAGTTATCCCTCCACACCCGAGGCATACTTCTCATACTTTTGCCAAAATGACATAACGGACCGTGGTTCGTCTGAACAGGACGTTGTATGATGGCAGGCGGTTTGAGGATGCAGGATTTGAGCACCACGACCTCTTCTTCCTTGATGGGACCACGCCCTCTGACCTCATCGTCAGACGCTTTCTGCATGTGTGTGAAGTACAGACGGGGGCAGTGGCGGTGCACTGTAAAGGTAGGACTGCAAGTCTTTATGTTTAATTGATGTCATTTTTTCTTTTATCTTAACTTTGTCTCTTTAAACACTCCATCCATTTACAGCTGGATTAGGCCGCACGGGCACTCTGATTGGCTGCTACCTGATGAAGCACTTCCGGTTTACTGCAGCCGAGGCGATTGCTTGGATCAGAGTCTGCAGACCTGGATCTATCATCGGTCCACAGCAAAACTTCTTAGAAGAGTGAGTTTGTGCCTCAGCTGTGACCGCTCAAACCAAACGGTCCACTTTCCGTGACTCCAAAGGTCTCGGTCGGAGACAATCATTAAGCTGTAGTCCGTTCATGAAAGTACAGGAGTAATGCTGTGCACACAGACACGTCTGCAACACTTCATTAGGATAATGTCACAAAACACAAGCAGACGGCAGCTTCACCTCCAAGGTGCACGGAGAAGACAAAGATCTGACGAGGTGAAGACTCCAGTCACAGAGTATCAGGGAACCATAACGCGTTAGTGGCCTTCATCAGGGTCATTGCGTTTGTGAAGGTGTGATTGGTCCACTTGGATCTTTTTCTGTTTCCAGTCTTTTTTATTTAAACACAAGCTGTTTGACATTTTGCAATGACCCAAAAGGCGTTGGCCACTGAGTACAGCTGTTCTCTAATACTTCGAGTGTCGCTGGAGTCTTCACACAAAGCACAAGTAGATCAGGAAGGGTTTGAGGGGTCACCTTGGCCTTCAACGTCGGCAGATCTCAGTCTCATCGAGCATCTGTGAGATGTGCTGGACAAACAAGGCCCGTCTGTCCTTAGGCTGTGGCATCTATTGCTGTTAGCACACAGGATGTTTCTCCATGCTGAGGTCATGGTTGGAGCATGCTGGAAATGTTAGAAGAGAAGCAAAAGGTGGAGGTCAGGGTGGGCATTCCCCAGGGTGCCCATGTGCAGCTGGTGGTGACTGCAGCAGTGGGAAACTGGTGGATGATGAATCGAATCGAATTAAAAAAGCCTGAAACTGTGATACTGCTGCAGACTGCAGTCACAGTGTGCAGCTGGTTTCTCTCCTCAGCTCTGGACGCACACTTCCTCCTTACGCCACAGTAGCGCTCTGTTGCTAATGGCTACTAGCTTTGTGTGTCTACTTACACGCTAAACCAGGATGTTGAATGTTGTACCTGCTAAACGTGATATCACAGTCAGTTTGTGGCGTGTGTTTGATGTTTGTGTGCAGGAAGCAGCACAGTTTGTGGGTTCAGGGTGACGTGCATCGGTCTAAACAGAAGCTGGTCCAACAGAGACTGAGTCGGCAGCAGCAGCTGCAGCAGCAGCTGCACCGCTCTGACTCTGTGCAGGGAGGCAAACAGGAGGCAGTGTCCTCGCTGCTTTCCAGCATGGATGACCTGTCAATCAACACCGTGCTCTGCAAGTCATATAGCTTGGATGAGGTCAGCGGTGTGACTTCATAGCACCTTTTCTTAATGGTTACTGCAGAATTCAAACAGGCTACTGAGTTCCGATCACAATGTTGTGTTTTCATGCTGCTAATTGTGTCTGTGCAGAATAACTGCAAAGAAGTCAGTCTGACACAGGGAGACGAACTGAGAGCACTGAAGGGAAAACGCCCACCGAGATCAGCGTCATCCTGCTCAAGGTACCAACATCTGTAATGTAATTAATGATAGATGGTTATTGTGGTCAGTGCAAGAGACACGTAGAGAATTAGCTCAAACGCTGGAAACAAAGTTTCTATCAGCAAGGAGAGATAATAGACACCAATATGTTTTTGTGGATGTCAGAAAGTACGTAAGTGACTGTTGTCGAATGCTACAAAGAACGCACGCTTTGTTTGCACGCTGTCTAACAGGCAGACCGGACTGCATGAAATCCTGCTGTGTTCTCATCTGTGCAGCGTGAATGTTGTGTGTAACCTGCTCGAGCTCATGTGTCCTTCTTTGTTCTTCGGTTAAACTGAAACCTAAATGCAACAGGAGAAGTTGTTGTCTTTTGGCGACTTTAGTTATGAGTGAGATTAAGGTTCTGGAGGTTGTCAGAGTATTCCTTCTACTGCCTGACGGTGTCCTCAGCTGGAGCCAGCAGGCCTCCATCTTTACTGTACACCGTGTTGGTGGAGCACCACTTCCCCTCCTGACGCTTTGCCAGAATCGCTCCTCCTACGCCCAAGTTTTTGCTGCAGCCGCGGCCTGAGCTGCGTTTCGATTGGCCTGCCCGCTGCCTCTGCTCTCCATCCTTGGCTGCAGCCAGACACACAATCAGTAGATAATACCTCTGCTCACTACAGTTTTTGTTTGGGTCCCTGAATCCACGGCACAAATATAGCAGATATATAAGAAGCTGCCATAGTTCAAGAAACATCTTATAAAAAGTAAATAGTTACAAATCGGGGATATGAGAGCTGCGGCAAAAAGAAACCAAAGGACGACCACGAACCAAACTCACGACGTGCCTCCGGCTTCTCCTGTAAACTAACATCACCAAACTGCTAACCTGACACAACCAAGAGCTGGGCTTCCACGGAGGTTAAATCAGGTACCTCCCACACGTCGAAGCGTGTTTGTATCTCGTCTCTTGTACAGAGTGTGAGTGCAGATGTTGATTCCTGCAGTGAGCGTAGAAATCAGAAGGATTTTTGGAGAAGTTGTTCGTTGTGCTTGTTTCTGTGAAGGATCAAGTTTTATTTGCTCTTGGATCACACACACACACAAATATGAGGTGTTCTTGTTTTCTGTGTCAGGTTAAACCTGTCCAAGACTTCACACCGCTCCATCCTCCCTCCCCCGAAGCCCTCCAAAGTCCACCTCACCCCTTCTTCTACTAAGACGCTGAGACGAAGTTCCTCTACCACCACTGCTCCGCAGATCAGGAGGTTGGTGTCTGTGCTTTTGTCCTTACTAGAAGCACATTATAATAAAACCAATGTAAAATGTGATGTGCTGATGTCTCCACAGTCCCTTCAGCCTCACGTTGTTCAGCACCAGGCCAGCACTGATTCACTGACTTCACACTTGGGACGTTCTGGTCATGAATCAGCCCAGCTGATGATGGACTCGCTGGAGACTGCATCAGCTCTCTTGCACGTTTAACCCTAGAACACTATCGCTATAAATAGTAACACAATCGCTAATGCCGGGTGATTTTTACCCGATATAATATAACCAATAAAAAGTAATCAAATATATCAAAATATGACAACACATGACAAATTAGAGTGGTCTTCTTTTACTTTCAACTGTGCCATGTCTAACAAAATGAAAGAAAAACCCTCCTAAAACAAAAGAATGACTCTGGAAAGCTGGTCTTTGGTCCACCCATTCCTGGGACATTTGAGACTTCCCTGGTGAAGGCACAGGCTCCTCGACACGCAAACAGCTGCAGGAGAGAGAAATCATGTAAATGTATTTGCTCGGGTGTAAATCACCCAGCGATAGCGTTCTCGGGTTAATAGGCTGTAAATGCTTTTTTAGCCCCAATAACTACTTTTCGTTTCGACAGAGCCAACAGTTTGTCACCACTTTAACTGGTCACGTGGCCCATTCTGTGATAACAGGGCCGACACCATAAATCATCACGTCTCTTGGGTATAGCAGGCAGGTAACTGTGAAAAACTGCGGCTGCATATTGCAGATATAACATCTGCTGGATGCTGAATGCCCCGCTGTCACAATCATTTTGCTGGAAGCAAAGGACACGTGCAGGTGGAAACACCAAACAACGCTTACAGGGGAGGTCGTGGCCCGAGGACTGAGTCAGACCATCGCCAAGAGCAGTCTGGGTGCTTCTGATAAACGGCTGCTGCCATTTGTCCATCCGAAGTTCAGAACCACAGGATGTAGACGGCCTGAAGCAACGTCTTGGTTGCGGAAACACAGACCTTTAGAAGTCGTACCAAAATCCACGCCTTAAACTTTGGCAGATCACATGATGGACCTAGCTTATTTGGCACGTTGTTGTAATGTTGTCTCCTCGTTTTCAGTACTTTAGTAACCAGGTTGGGTCAGAGAACCATAGCAAACCACATCTTTTGTAAGAGATTGGTGCACATTGTTCAAGAATTAACAACTGGACGCAAAATTGTCTTGCAAGACCAAGAGTGACACACTGCTTCTGCTACAGATGTTATTTATATTCTCCCAGATTTCATCGATAAAGTATGACAAACTTATATTTGTTGGTCTGTTAATGTTCTAATGATGCAGAGCGAGGGACACAAAGCCACGACGTGCTTATAATGCACTGTGAAAGCCTCTGAGCACACATGCTGGCAATGAAAGAGGAAATCAGTAAAATGAAGACAGAGATTCTGATGTTTCACGTCAGACTGAACACGGCACGCACACTTTATTTCACAGGTCATTCACATTCATGCACTGGATTTGTCAACAGGACTTTATCATACATAAAGCAAACTCACTATGTTCAGCTTTGCACTATTTCTTTCTTGCAGTAAAATTCTTAACATGCAAATGATGTTCAGCTTTGAGCGTGTTGTTGCTGTCATGCTTTCCTGTATCTGACTGTGTGACAGCAGCTCAGATGTGCTGTCTGATTGGTAGTTTACTCCAAAGGAGGGAAACCAGCTAATGCTAGTGTGAAGTGCTAAAATCAACAATAAAGTCCAAGTAATGACGAGATAATGACTCATGCTTCTCTTTGTTATCATCACACTGTCATTGTGTCATAACCTTCACTGAAAGTCACCTGACACTGCTGTGGGACGCTGTGGGACGCTGTGGGATGCCGTGGGATGCCGTGGGATGCTGTGGGACGCCGTGGGACGCTGTGGGACGCTGTGGGATGGGGGGGGGGGGGGTGGGGACGCTGTGGGAGCGTGCTGTGGGACGCTGTGTGATGCCGTGGGACGCTGTGGGAGCGTGGGGGGGGGGGGGGGGGGGGGGGGGGGGGGGGGGGGGGGGGGGGGTGGTGGATGCCGTGGGATGCTGTGGGGATGCTGAGACTGTGGATTCCATGTCCTTGGTATCATTTGGGGAATTTAATGACCAAAACATCAGAAATAACTGAGGCGACTCTATAAGGGAATCCCCTCTGTTGACACTGTACTGAGTCAAAAGTATAAGGAACTGAGCTACATGGATTACCTGCACATACACTGACCTACGTATATGAAACAGTACTGTACCATATATGTATAACAGGGCCTCTTAAACTAAAATCCTGGCTGTATCCTTACTGTAGTTAAGTTAAATAGTCTCATATTTTTATTATTTTTTGTTAAGTTAAATGACGTCCCTCTATAGTCTCCAAATCATTGTTGTTGGACACTTATATTTGTTGTCTGTTAATGTTCTAATGATGCAGACAGGAAAAATATATATATATTATATATACATAATATATATATATATGTTATATATATATATATTATATATATATATATATACACACATATATATATATTTTTTTATATTATATAAAAATATATATATATTATATATATGAGTATATATGAGTATGCATTTGAAGTACACTTCAAATTGGGACAGCCGTCGTCGCGTGGCGGTGACGTAATCGCACTTAAAATGTGTACTTCAAGCGTGCAGACCCTGAATTGGGACACAGCCTCAGTGTTTCAGTCATAAAAACACTTCCTGTCTCCGCGGGGCCCATCACGTATAGGTGTAACGGAGAAACAGCCAATCAAATCGCAGCTTTTCAGGCATTGGAAAAAAAAAGATTGTTTTTTACACTGAACTGTCTGAGCGCGGGTTCGAGTCCTGGTTGGGACAAAGGTTGTGTTACATTATCAAAAGTTAAACACCATTTTCAATCTACTTATTGTGGATAACATTTATTTTTTAATTTTTAGTTCATTATCATTTTATTTATATTATATAGTGTTATGGCCTGTGGAGCAATTTTTCTGCACCTATACTGTCACAAAGTGCATAACTCAGACTAAACTGTATCATCACAGTCTTGAGATGATACATAGCAGACATATAGTCTACAATTATGGAGACATCCAACTTTTAATACAAAGACTAAAGCTAAAACTATAATACAGATACATTCTGATGACATAGAACATGAAGCTTATACATAATTTCAATAAGGCATGTCTGTGATAAATCATCTGTCTGCTTCCTGGTGGCTGTTAGTTTATGTCTATTCATTTTCCAGCACAAACTCAGTACTGACATCGTTGCTTTATTCCAGTCATGCTCTTGCCAGCCTCCACTCTGCATGCTTTAAATCGGTTGCTCTTCTGCATTTCAGATCTGCAGCCATGCAGCCCGCCTCCTCTCCTTTCTCCTCCTCACCGTGGTCACTCAGAGCCCTGTCCCAGCCTCCATCTCCATCTTCATTACTATCAGCATGTTGACTCTGGGGTGGTGGTTGTGCAACATCCTGTCACTGCTGGGATTCTTTCTGCTATGATGGCTCATAACTGCCAAACAGTTACATTTATTTCTGTATCTCAATAAATCATGTTGAGTTTTTCCACGTGATCTCTCCTTATTGAATTACTTTTGTAGATAAGCTTCAAGCTAGCAAGCAACAATACCTACATCAAATATATTATCACCAGAAGTGAGAAACTGTCTGCAGCTCCAGCTGTGCTGCATGTATTAAAGATAACGTCAGACATTGTGTGGGGGTCATGTCTGACACAGGCTGTACAGTCACACAGATAAAAGACAGCAGTCATGTTTCTAATAATATAAATGAAAACAGAAAGATTATGAAGATAAAAGCTGTGAGACTGCTCTAGGATGACTTGTTATCATTACATGAAGTGATTTAGAAATAATATGTAAGCTTTCAGGGCAGCGCTCACAACTTATTTAAACTGATTACCTGATGGGGAGCACACACAGATATAGAAACATATAGGTGAACTCTAAGAAGAAAACTGTGTTGATATTTTTGCAGAAAACTATTTATTTACACTTTTATATTTACAATCAGTTTATATTTATAGAAACAAAAGAAACATTCACAACTAGAACAAAACTGTCTTATATACAAAATCAACTGTTTCTCCCTTATTTACTGTTTTCTTCCACCATACAGCCAGCATACAACCATGCTATTAGAGGAACATCACTGGAACGTGGCCAGAACACACAAAAACAAGAACAAGACAATATATAAAAGTTCAAGTTCAGGCTCAGCTTTGCAGAGAAAACAATTGTACTCCAGTTCTGAAACCTTTCATTTGAAAACCTGTTTGCTCCTGAAGATCCTCTGGGTGTGGACCCTGCTGCTGCTGCCACAGTGACTAGTTATGCAGAGACAGAGGCATATGAGACAGAAACAGACTTAGCCATTATCACGTCTGACATGTAGTAATAACGCAGTACTTACAGCTCTGCATGTGTACTTTTACAGGTGAGATGCTCGGCATTGTGTCCTCCAGGTTTTCATCCTCATCCATCCCTGTGATGGAGGCAACAATTAGACAAATATGTACTGAATTTATATTTCATGTCAACAATGTTATTAAAATATTATTAAAACAACTTACCAAGAGGTTGTTTAGTTGGGGCGTTTGTAGTAGCAGGCGCAGACTGCTACTTCTTCCGCAGGCACTGCTGCAGCTCATGCAGCCGTGTTCCTTGACTGCAGCTCTTCCTCATGATAAGGTCTGCATAGCCGTCACCTCTGCCGTCCCAAATCTCCTTCCAGGTGCTCTTGGCTCGTGAGCCAAAGCCAACCAGCTGATCATCCTCAGAGGCTTCTGCTGCAACACTTACTCTGCTGGTCTCGTAGCTCAGAAGAGTTTTTATCTCTGCAAAGCTGAGGGCTTACTGTACAAATGAATGCAAGCTCTCCTTGCCATGCCCTTCTTCCACAGAGGTCCCTGCAGCCTCTTGCTTCTGGAGATCTTTGATCAGGTACGTGGTGTCCCCGACATCATTCTCCAGAAGCCACCGGAAAGATTTCCCTTTATATTTTCCAAACTGCAGGATGTACTCTCCCTGCACTTCCTTCATGTCAGAGGCATCCCCTCCTCTCTGATAGATGACAGTCAGAGCATCGTCCTCCCTCACAGGTGCAGACTTGTCCTGAAGCTTGGGGTCATTTTTAATCCTTCGAGCTTCTTTTGACGAGTCCTGGAGAAGGTATCCAAGTGGCCCCTTGTGGAACGCCACAGAGATTTTCCCTGGATATGGCGCAACTTTCTTCTGCATCTTGACATGCAGTGAAAAAATAAACAATTATATTAAACAAAATTGATTCCAAACACAAACAAAGACATTCCAGGTTATAATCTTGCTGCTGGGTTTACACAGCAGGATGCAGGAGAACAATAACGAGACACAATTTGAAAGAACATTGACAACATTTGTGATAAAAGTGTTTTTTACTCCAGGTATAACAAACTGTTCTGTCTGTAAATAAAAACCTTTCATGGTTGAATGATTATTGGCATATCTGCAAAATTTGTGGTAACTGCTTAGTAGTCATGGCACATAAGAATTGCTGGTAGATTCCCGCGCGGGAGCCTGGGATTGTTTAGCTAAACGGCCTAAACCGTTTCTCTATGGTAGTGCTAAACTACGGTGGCCCCTAGAGACAAAGCACGTACAAACTCAAAAACACAACGGAAGTGCTCCAGGACGCTAGGGGCAGTGTTGAGCTCTATTTGCAAAATAAACGGCAAGTTTGTCTGTATGGGACGGTCTAGTCTCCGTCGCGCTTCCCAGGTTGCCTAGCAACCATGATACTAACCGCTGGAAACGTGTCATACAACTTTGTTTGACAGAAATGAAGGAGAACATATTTTGTTCATTTGTTTGTTTGTTTCTACAAGAGCTTTGTGTGATTTGATAAGTATCTGAGGCTGAGACCACAGGACAGTAAAACATGATTTTTGGGCTTCATTTCTGTGCTGAACAGTTATTTAAGATTAGTTAGTAAATAAGAATTAGCTGATGTTGTTCATGAGACTAAAGTCATCTCACTTTGGTAATGTAAATAGAATAGAATAGAATAGAATAGCCTTTATTGTCATTGTACAGAGTACAACGAAATTGGAGTGCCACTCCCTTGGTGCAAGTTTCAATAATAAATATAAATATAAAATATAAAAGTACAAAAAAACAATCGTAAGTACTCAAACAATAGTATGTACAATATATACAGGATAGCAGCATTAATATGATGACAGTATGAATAGCAGCATAATATAATGACAGTGACGGTATGGAATAGGTTCAATTGTTTTGTGCTTATTTACTACGGTGATAGCTCTGGGAAAGAAGCTATCCCTGAATCTGTTTGTCCTGGTTTTATGTGACCTGTACCGTCGGCCTGACGGTAATAGTTCAAACAGTTGGTTGCTGGGGTGAGAGTGGTCCTTGATGATATTGCCAGCTCTGCTGAGGTACCGAGAGTTTGCAGTGACCTCCAGGCTGGGCAGAGAGCAGCCAGTGATCTTCTGGGCTGTGTTGATGACCCTCTGCAGTACTTTCCTGTCCGCAGCTGAGCACCCTGCATACCATGTTGTTATGCCGTACGTTAGGATGCTCTCTATGGTGGCTCTGTAAAATGTCACCAGCAGCCTCTCCTCCAGGTTGTTCCTCCTGAGCACTCTCAGAAAGTGGAGACGCTGCTGGGCCTTTTTAACCACCGCTGTAGTATTTGCAGTCCAGGAGAGATCATCAGAGATCTGCACGCCCAGAAACCTCATGGAGTGTACCCTCTCCACACAGCTCCCGTGAATGTAAAGTGGGGCCGGGTCTGCTCTGCCCTTCCTGAAGTCCAAGATAAGTTCTTTCGTTTCGTGGTGTTCAGTTGGAGGTTGTTAACTGAACACCACTCAGTCAGTCTGTTGACCTCATCTCTGTAGTCCGACTCATCCCCCCTTGAGATGAGTCCAACCACTGTGGTGTCATCCGCGAACTTTATGATGGTGTTTGAGAGATGGGTAGGGGAGCAGTCGGATGTGTAGAGCGTAAACAGGAGGGGACTCAAAACACATCCTTGTGGAGACCCGGTGCTGAGTGTGATGGTGCTGGACCGGTGGGGGCCGAGTCTGACAGACTGTGGTCTATTTGTCAGGAAGTCCTTGATCCAGAGGCAGATGGGGGTGGAGAGTCCCAGGTGAGACAGTTTCTGGACCAGGATCTCCGGGATGATATGATTGAATGCTGAGCTGAAGTCCAGAAAGAGCATTCTCACATAGCTTCCTCGGTGCTCCAGGTGACTCAGCGCAGTGTGGAGCGCTATGGTGATAGCGTCCTCGGTGGATCGATTTGTCCTGTAGGCAAATTGGTGGGGGTCCAGAGTGGGAGGCAGACCGGCCCTGATGTGCTGACAGACCAGTCTCTCAAAGCACTTCATCACTACAGGCGTAAGTGCAACAGGCCTGTAGTCATTTGGGCTGACCACAGCTGTCTTCTTGGCGATGGGGATGATGGTGGAGGTTTTGAGGCAGGGCGGGACGGTGTTTGATGACAAGGAAAGGTTGAAGATTTTAGTGAAGACTCCGGTCAGTTCGTCAGCACATGCTCTGAGAACCTTTCCATGTATTCCATCAGGACCTGCCGCCTTCCTGGGATTCACTGACCTTAGAACACACCTCACTTGATGCTCCCTAAGTGTTAGTGTGCCAGTGCTGGGGGCGGGTGGAGGTGGTGTGGCAGCTGAGGGCTTGGTCGTCTCAAAGCGGGCGAAGAAACGGTTTAGATCCTCAGCCAGTGAGGCATCAGTCCTAGATGTTGCCTGGTTATTGCTTCTGTAGTTGGTAATGTGATTGATCCCCTGCCACATTTTTCTGGGGTCGTTGTCAGCAAATATAATATGGCCAATATTATAGTTATTATATTAGTCATTATTAGCTATTACAGCAGTGAACATGAACTCTGTGTCAAATACTGAGCAGTACAGATTCAAGTTGCAGTTATTTACATGTCTTATCACCTTAAATCTTCACTCAAAGACACGTATCTTTGACAGTGTGCATATAGATGTATTATATATAAGAGACAAATATTGTTCCTTCAGTATGTTGGCATTACTAAATTTGGCTCAATGCTTACATATATGTGTAAAAAGAAAATGTACAAGCTGTGATAACTGTGTCTGATAGAATGAAGAGTCGACTGATATATGAAATATTCCTTTATTGGGTGAGAAAATCAGACCATGTCATAACTGCTGTAAGTCACACAGAATAGATATCAGAGCCTTAAACAGGCTGACGTCTGCTAAATGGGTCAAACTGGGCAGAAAGTCTACAAACACATAACATCCTTATAGAATATGATGTAACACTATAGATCAACTTAGCTCAGAATATATAAAGCATATAAACAGTTACAGCAATATGATGCAACAAACACAGCAGCTACTGATCCAAAATACTCAAAGCTTCATAGAACTGAAACCAACATTTATTTTAGCTCCATTCTGCTGCTGATACAGACTTTAGGTTTCTGAACATTAAACTTGTTGCTGCCTTTCATAGTGTGTAACTTGAAGGCCCTGAGTACTCTGAGTACTTTCTCCCACACTGGAAACACTGGGATGATCACATTATTTGAACATTACCTAATAAGACTGATTCAGCACAGACAGTTATGTTAAACTTTCCTAGCAGTCCTTCACAAACAGGGAACAGTCTGTCTATTCTCTCCATCTGTCAGCTGCTGCTGGCTCTTCCTCCTCCTCTTCCTCACACACTGCTGAGTTTGTCCTGGTGGATCATCAGGGGTGCAAAGCCTCACAGATGATGTGCAGCAGTGGGTCCCTCAGTCTGTCCTCACTCTGGACACTTGCAGTTGTCACACATGGAAATCAAATGTGTGATAAGCTGCAGGATTCAAACACAAGTGTAACTTATAAACACATGTTCATACTTTTATTCCACAATCAGAGAGAAAGACACAGAGAGAGAGTGCAGGACAGACAGACAGGTGACAGTCTCAGGTGTACACACTGCTACACAACAACACAGAGAAGCAGGATTTAGTGTTTGTGTTATTACGAAACAAGAAGAGTTCCAGATGGTGCAGTGGACACATGTGTGACTGCTGTGATTAAAGCATCTTTCTTTCAGCTTAACGAGTGAACCGTCAGCTCGTTCAAACACACGTTAAAGTGCGTTTGGCTCGACACCACCGAACAGAGGCAGCAATATAACACAGCTCACATTAACAGTGCAGTGGATCCTGCTTGTGCCGCCATGTTCAGGACTGCAAACCGAGCAGCATCACTGACTTTCAGCCTGTTGTGTTTGTGGATATATGACTGACTTTAATTATCCACAAAATCATCACATTCTCTGTCAGATTAAGGTCGACTATATATATATATTTATTAAAGTAAAGGCTTTAAAACCAAGTTAATTCTGAAAGTACAAACATCGCTAATGTCAACTTTCCCGACATGTGGCCAACAATAATGGTTTCATGTTCTTCATTAAAAAAATATTTGCGCATTAATAAGTGACATAATATTCAGTACTTACTTCTGAAAGTTTACTCTTCCTCCGCTCCGCTTCCACTGTTTTTTTTTTCGGCAAAATTATCCACACCACCACCGCACTATGAAGTCTGGGATATGTTGGGCCATGAAGGCTACACCGACCCATCCTTAAAATTCAGGGAAATTAAGGACGCATTTCAGGGCCGCATTTCGGGCAGCCTTTGAATTCGGAAAGCCTTCTCTTGTGGCTGTGAGGTAATCGGCCTTAAAATGCGGCCTTTAAGGCTGCAAACCCCAAATCCGGTCATTGGTACTTCCTGGCTTGTGTAGTTACTAGGTAACAAAAGCTCAACACTGCCCCTAGCGTCCTGGAGCACTTCCGTTGTGTTTTGGAGTTTGCAAGTGTTTTGGAGTTTGTACGTGCTTTGTCTCTAGGGGCCACCGTACTAAACCACTACGGGTGTAATATACTTTTGGCCACTACGGTCTTCCGGCGCTGTTGCGAGTTTGAGATGCGGCGGCACTTTTAAAAAATCTCCTCTTTTACGTTTCGGGAGAGAAAATAAGTAACTCAACGCTCGCAACACATCCCAACGCTCCTCATTCATTGATCAAAGGTAAGAAACGTCGTTTGAAATAAGAGTAAACCAACAGAATACATTTACAGGTGTATATTACAGGTAATAGGTGTGTTGCGATTGCATTTACGAAGCATCCATCGGTCAGTGGTTACACTGAAATCATGCAGTTTGTGCTTTGACCTCCAGAGGGCGACAAATCAGCACAGACAGAGAGCTCCATTCAAACTTTGCTGCCATCAGGAATAATTCTTCAAATATAATCATCAGTGTTTGAGCAGTTCTGATATCAGGGACAATCTAGACATGTGTGACAATACTGAACATGTCACATGACACACCTCAAACATCATGTGATCCACTCTCAGTCTGCACTTTCATTCATGACTTCAACAGGTTGAAATGAGCTTTGAACAAACATCAGTTCAGTGCTGAAATATTCAAACGCTGCAGGAAGAAGAACAACAAAGTGATGACAGATGTTTGTGCTTCAAACTGGAAAACCAGCAGAAATAAATCACAGCCTGCCAGAGGTTTAGGAGTTTCTGAGGTGCACCTGAACGCAGCATAGTGTTTCAAAGCCCCTGATTGTCTTCAAACGCCGCATTAGGCTGAAAGTTTACTTTCACTTCCTGAACTTCGTGGAGTGGCGCTTGTTGTTGGTGTGTGAAGAAACTGTAAGTTTGCTTTGTTTCCTCCTTTAACAGTTTGTCTTTAGGAACTTTACTGTTTGTTCAGCTCATGTTTGAGTTCTTCACACAACAAACTGTGTGTGTTTGTATTAAAGTCAGTGTGTAATGTTTCCTGGCTAACATCAGCTGTGTGCAGCTTAGTTCAGCACAAATCTGCCGCTCCATAGTTCACGGTAACGGACTCACAGCTGGACCAACGAGGCCGAGTGTGTCCGCCACTCTGAGCTACGTTCGTGTTTGTGTGCTTGTAGTTTGTACTTTGTGAGTTCACTCAGAGGACGCAGCGTACGTGATGACGTCACAGCCCATTACCTCCTTTACTGTCACTGTGATTAATATTTACACACCACACGAGACACCTGACAGCATGCTAACGCTAAGCTAAAGCTAAGCTAACGCTAAGCTAGCCAAGAACCCAGAGTGATGTTAAAGCTGAGTAAACACTGACCCCAGACCAGCACCGTGATAAAGTGAGCTGCTGCTGCTGAACTTGAACAGGTAACAAAGTGATGAGCAGTCAGGCTGCAGGTTTCTACCTGTTCATGTTTCCACAGTAGAATCACTTTGAAGTGTCTTTGTGCTGTTTCATCTTTGATTTGTGTTCATAAACACTCAGAGAAACATCACGTGACCTCATCAGGATCTGTGTTGGTGTGTGGGGCTGTACCTCAGCTTTAGATTATGGTGATTATGAGACAGTGTTTCAGCTCATTTTACACAGTAACATGAAAGTACTGTTATGAGGAGTAATGACGTAACATACTCCATTACTTTTAATTAAAGTGTTCTGTGTAATATGTGTAATAATGACTTTTTTGAGTAACTTCATCTCTGTCAATAACAACATTCATACGTGGAATAAAACCACATCAGTGGATCATTGCTGGAGCTGCCTGGACTTCAGTCTTCAGCATCTCAACCAACAGCATCGACATGCTGCTCCAGATGTCTGTGCTCCAGATGTCTGTGCTCCAGATGTTTGTGCTCAAGTGATCAGACTCACAGTTTCATCCTTGAAATAAGTGTTTATATTGTTGACCCACCATTGATCATGATCAGTGGTGGGTCAGCGACATGCTTTCTTTCCGTCTCAGGTTTAAATATCTGGGACTCTCCACCGTTTGGTTTTAGAGCTGAAGAAGCTTCTCGGATGAAACGTCTTCCAGAAACTTAAAGACGTCTCTTTTCTTTCCAAGCTCCTTAGATCACATGACCTGGATGACTGAACCTACAGACATATTGACCTGGTTTCTAGGTCACATGACAGGTCAGAGGTCAGCGACTGTAACTCGGTTACTCCTGTTAATGTGAACTCACTGAGTGTTTGTGGTTTACCTCTCAGACTGACTGAAGATGATGATGGAGGAAGAGGAGGACAGAGCAGAGTCTGCAGGGTCCAGCTGTCCGTCTGTGAGGAGTGACGGGTCCAAAGGTCAAAATCCAGGCTTCAGTGGTGAACCTGGAGCAACGAGGTCAGAGAGCTGAACTCACTGAGTAACAGAAATAATTCTGCACTGACATTATAATCAGTGTTGACTCTGGTTGATTGTCTGACTGTGTTTGTGAGCTGAGAGGAAATGAAAATGAGTTTGTAACAAAAATCAGTTTTGTCCAGTTTCCCTGTAAAAAGCTGAACTCTAATCTAAGAGGATGTTACTGACAGGAAACAGCTGCATTATCTGCAGTCTGTGTGATCACAGCTGCTTCAATCATGTTTGTGTCTGCAGAGGTCAGAGGTCACAGTCTGCAGGGTCCAGCTGTCCGTCTGTGAGGAGTGACCGGTCCAAAGATCAAATCCATTCTTCAGTGGTGAACCTGGAGCAATGAGGTCAGAGAGCTGTGATGACTCCTTTACATGTTTGTGTTTCCTGGATAAATATGACCTGAAACATCCTCAGATTGTTACAAAGATTCATTAAAAAGAAAACAATGAAAGAGAAAAGATCCAAATGTTCGACTTGGTCATTTGCTGTTTGAGGACAGTGATGCTCATATCTGTGGGGAAAGTGTGACCTGAGTGGGTTCATGTTTGTCTTTAAAGAACAGCTCTGATGCTCTTTGTGTCTGATCTGTTAAACAGTCTGAGAGGTCACACAGAGACCCAGCAGCTAAAGCCTGGATCATACTGGCTGCTGTTACTCCATCAGGACAACACTGAACCACAGTGCTGTTCATGGAAATCAGTGCAGCTTTACACTGTATCACCAAAGTACTGACTCGTCTGCCTTCACACATGTAAACTTGAGTGACATCATATTCTGAGTCCACAGCATTTAATATGATGTCAGCCAAGAGTTCAACATATAACAGCTTAAACTGTTCTGAAAAGGTTTTTTCACAGGTTAAAAAGTGTTTACGGGATTTTTAACAGTTCTTTCAGAAGCACATACGTGAGGTCAGACACAGGGAAGCAGCAACACTGACTGAACACAGCTTTTAGAGGCTAAATTCACATTTTAATAATGAAAGTGGCTTCATGTGTGTGTCCATGGTTCATCCACAGAGTGGAGCAGCAGAGCTCAGAGGGTCCCAGTGGTCAGTCTGCCCAGCAGCATCAAACACAGCTGGACTCCATGTTTATGGTCTGTACATGTACAACAACTACTTTATTATTAATATTAATACATTTGTTTATAGGTCCCTTTCAGAACACCAAGGACTCTGTGGACTAAATGACCAAAAGAAACAAACTTTGAAATCAGACGGTGCAAATGTGATCACAGGGAAACGTTTTAAACATCGAGGCTTTAAACAGAAACCAAAGTGAAACAGTTTGTAGTCGAGATCAGTGGGAATGAAGCTGAATAACTGTTTCTTCAATAACTCTGAGAAATAAATGACAAATATGATGGAAATTAGCAGCATTAGCACTTACTAATGATGTGAGTCAACACTCTGCTGTATTCAGACGACCACATTAGGTGGTGTAATGGAAACCAGTGGATCCAGTCCAGTCGTGGCGACCTGTGGCGAGTCGATCTGAGCAGCTACTAATGGAAACGGGGCCATAGATGTGTTTGTGCTTAATAACAGTGAATCACAGGATTTTTACATTACAGTTAAAATCTCATGTTGTTTGTTAAAGTGTGCAGTTCAGGGTGTGTTACTAAAACTGTGGTTTGCTCACTTTCCAAAGACCCAGCCCCCATAAAAAGCAGCCAATCAGCTCTAAGAGTTACACACACGTGTAAACCAGAGCAGCAAATCAGGTCCAAATGTGTTGTTCACAGTGAGTGGATCATCAGTGTGCTGCTATGTTAACATCCTGCAGCAGGATGTGTTTGGTCAGCTGGTTCACATTTCCTCAGGACCTTCTTGATGTGATGTTCTTCTGCCTCCCTGGCTGCTGTGTCTGTGGGGATGGCGTTCGCTCTGTGTTGTAGCGTCCTGATGACGCCCAGTTTGTGCTCCAGTGGATGATGAGAGTCAAACCTTAAATACTGATCTGTATGTGTAAACAGAGTGAACCTTTAAGACCAGCTGTCTGTATGATCAACTCTGTCACCTATAACATCGCCAAGTTTCTGGCTTCGATCATCAACCTGTTGGTAGTTCAGCTCTGAACACCAGTGAAATGTTTCTCCCACTGAAATCGCTGCATTCATATGAACAGAATCAGCGTTTTGGGACCGTGGAGTTGTGGAGAAATTCTCAGTTAATCAGATAAAGTCAAACTTATAATTGGTGAGGAGATCGTGGATGATATGCTTCTTGATTGTAAAGAAGTGGATGTTGTGTGGACTGAAGTTCAGAGTGGTGGGTCATTCATAAATATTCTGTTCCAGCTGCTGGAGGACAACATCATCACGTTTGTGAAGAACGAGCTGAAGAAGATCCAGAAGGCTCTGAATCCAAATAAGCCCCAGTGCTTGGAGTTTCAGAGGGAGGATGATGAGCAGAGGAGCAGCAGAGAGGCATTTGTGAAGATCACAGTGGACTTCCTGAGGAGAATGAAGCAGGAGGAGCTGGCTGACCGTCTGCAGAGACGTAAGAGGATTTCTTACTTAAGGTTTTAAGCTGTTAGATAAATGAGACACTCATGACACCAGTGTGTTCAGTCATTTCTCAGTGGGTCAGAAAATGTCGTCAGCGATTTGTAAAATATGATTGTTGAAGTTGTATTTTTATTATTATTATTCAGAATTTCCAGCTGCTGTTTGTCATCGTAACCTTAAATCCACCCTGAAGAAGAAGTTCCAGTGTGTGTTTGAGGGCATCGCTAAAGCAGGAAACCCAACCCTCCTGAATCAGATCTACACAGAGCTCTACATCACAGAGGGAGGGACTGCAGAGGTCAATGATGAACATGAGGTCAGACAGATTGAAACAGCATCCAGGAAACCAGACAGACCAGAAACAACCATCAGACAAGAAGACATCTTTAAAGCCTCACCTGGAAGAGATGAACCAATCAGAACAGTGCTGACAAAGGGAGTGGCTGGCATTGGGAAAACAGTCTTAACACAGAAATACAGCCTGGACTGGGCTGAAGACAAAGCCAACCAGGACATCCAGTTCATATTTCCATTCACTTTCAGAGAGCTGAATGTGCTGAAAGAGGAAAAGTTCAGCTTGGTGGGACTTGTTCATCACTTCTTTACTGAAACCAAAGAAGCAGGAATCTGCAGCTTTGAAGACTTCCAGGTTGTGTTCATCTTTGATGGTCTGGATGAGTGTCGACTTCCTCTGGACTTCCACAAAACTACAATCCTAACTGACCCTAGAAAGTCCACCTCAGTGGATGTGCTGCTGATAAACCTCATCAGGGGGAAACTGCTTCCCTCTGCTCGCCTCTGGATAACCACACGACCTGCAGCAGCCAATCAGATCCCTCCTGATTGTGTTGACATGGTGACAGAGGTCAGAGGGTTCACTGACCCACAGAAGAAGAAGTACTTCAGGAAGAGATTCAGAGATAAGAAGCAGGCCAGCAGGATCATCTCCCACATCAAGAAAGCTCGAAGCCTCCACATCATGTGCCACATCCCAGTCTTCTGCTGGATCACTGCTACAGTTCTGGAGGATGTGCTGGAAACCAGAGAGGGAGGACAGCTGCCCAAGACCCTGACTGAGATGTACATCCACTTCCTGGTGGTTCAGGCCAAAGTGAAGAAGGTCAAGTATGATGGAGGAGCTGAGACAGATCCACACTGGAGTCCCAAGAACAGGAAGATGATTAAGTATCTAGGAAAACTGGCTTTTGATCAGCTGCACAAAGGAAACCTGATCTTCTATGAACCAGACCTGCCAGAGTGTGGCATCAATATCAGAGCAGCCTCAGTGTACTCAGGAGTGTTCACACAGATCTTTAAAGAGGAGAGAGGACTGTACCAGGACAAGGTGTTCTTCTTCATCCATCTGAGTGTTCAGGAGTTTCTGGCTGCTCTTCATGTCCATCTGACCTTCATCAACTCTGGACTCAATCTGATGGAACAACAAACAACCTCTATGTGGTCTAAATTATTTAACAAATCAAACCTACAAACTCTCCAAAAGAGTGCTGTGAACAAGGCCTTACAGAGTCCAAATGGACACCTGGACTTGTTCCTCCGCTTCCTCCTGGGTCTTTCACTGCAGGCCAATCAGACTCTCCTACGGGGTCTGCTGACACAGACAGGAAGTAGCTCACAGACCAATCAGGAAACAGTCCAGTACATCAAGAAGAAGCTCAGTGAGAATCTGTCTGCAGAGAAAAGCATCAATCTGATCCACTGTCTGAATGAACTGAATGATCGTTCTCTAGTGGAGAAGATCCAACAGTCCCTGAGATCAGGAAGTCTCTCCACAGAGAAACTGTCTCCTGCTCAGTGGTCAGCTCTGGTCTTCATCTTACTGTCATCAGAGGAAGATCTAGATGTGTTTGACATGAAGAAATTCTCTGCTTCAGAGGAGGCTCTGCTGAGGCTGCTGCCAGTGATCAAAGCCTCCAACAAAGCTCTGTGAGTAAACATGTGATCAGGCTTTATTTATAACATAAACAGTATCATGTGTGATGGACCCTTAAAACTTAAACATATTTTTTTACATGATCATCAGCACTAAATACAGTATATTATAGTTAATGTTTGATGGCAGCAGTAAATGTCAGAGTGTCTTAAACATATCTGGGTGTCAGCTTTTATCAAAGTCACGTCCAGAATCATCCTGTAAGTAAACTTTATTTAAACAGCAGCTTTCACAGGTCAAAAACCACAAAGTGCTTTACAATAGAAACAGGCAATAAAAACACAGAAGATAAAAACATTAAACAGCAAACACTGAACATCATACAGCCTAAAACTAGTTAAAGGCCACTCTGAATACTAGAGTCTGAATAAATGAGTTAGTGGGACCAGTAAAAGCCTTTGACTGGAAGATCTCAGATGTGAGAAGAGCTGTAGGATTGTAGAAAGTCAGAAACATAAACTGGGACTAAAAGTAAGGACTAAAACTTTAAATAACGCCTAAAATGAACTGGTTACCAGTGTGAAGAG